CACCACCACCAACAACAACAACAACAACAACAACTTAAACAGCAACAACAAAATCAACAATAACAACAACAACAAGAAAAGAAACCCCCCCCATACATCTCTTAACGACCCACTAAATATTATGTGGCTATTAACCACCTCTAGAACTACCAAACAGCCTCGTTAAACACCTGACGATCGTTAAATGACACTGACTGTGGTCTCGCAGGAAGGATAATGGCCTTGTCTACAGTATATACATATTGAACCAATGGAAATTTGTACGGCGACTTTTACTGTATCTATCTATCTATCTATCTATCTATCTATCTATCTATCTATCTATCTATCTATCTATCTTTCTATCTATCTATCTATCTATCTAAGGCTAATTGGATGACACCTGTAGGTACTATAACGAGCTGGACTTATTAAATATAGAGTTCCTTGGAGGACAGTGTGTGTGTGTGTGTGTGTGTGATCTGCCCAGTGCTCGTCCAGTCTTCTCTCCATGCAAGTTGAACGTGTGAGTTAGAACCGATCGTCTGCTTTTGTTAACTCAGGTGTATCAAACGTTCGTAATACGGGATGTTATGAGGAATAGGGAACCCCCAAAGCTTATTTAATGATGATGACTGAACACTTCAATGCTATAATGGGAGATGGTTAGCTGTTATGTTATGTTATTGTTATGTTATGTTAGGGTTAGGTTATGTTATATGTTATGTTAGGTTAGTTATGTTAGGCTTGGTTATGTTATTATGTTATGTTATGTTATGTTACGTTATGTTATGTTATGTTATGTTATGTTAGGTTAGGTTATGTTAGGTTAGGTTATGTTATGTTAGGTTAGGTTAGGTTAGGTTAAGTTAGGTTCCTACTCTTCCTGAGATCCTTATTACGCACTGAGGAGTTTAATATGATCTTAATTCATGTTTTATCTCACCCTATCACAGAAACCGACAGCAGACGACGAGAGGACTTCAAAGAAAACGATAACTTACAAGGCCCTTATACGGTAATGCTTCTCGTGTGAAAATAAGGAAATTTTATTAAAGCTAATGTCAGGCTTGATTCATTGCCTCTGTATACAGTTTACTGGGGCGTGAATGCAAGACTTGACTCCTTAACTTAAGTCACGCGATGCATAAACAAAAACTATCGTACAGGAAATGACTAAATTATCGTATCCGCGTCACAGAAAGTAAACAAACACGACAGTTGAAGAGTCGGGACTTTGATAGAAGCTAAAACGTCAGAAACGAACGAACACGAACTAAACGAATCAGGCAAGGAGTTTGATAGAAGCTAAAACGTCAGACACGAACGAACACGAACTAAACGAATCAGGTAAGGAGTTTGATAGAAGCTAAAACGTCAGACACGAACGAACACGAACTAAACGAATCAGGTAAGGAGTTTGATAGAAGCTAAAATGTCAGACACGAACGAACACGAACTAAACGAATCAGGTAAGGAGTTTGATAGAAGCTAAAACGTCAGACACGAACGAACACGAACTAAACGAATCAGGCAAGGAGTTTGATGGAAGCTAAACATCAGACACGAACGAACACGAACTAAACGAATCAGGTAAGGAGTTTGATAGAAGCTAAAACGTCAGACACGAACGAACACGAACTAAACGAATCAGGCAAGGAGTTTGATGGAAGCTAAACATCAGACACGAACGAACAATTTAACCAAACGAATCAGGCAAGGGGTTTGATAGAAGCAAACTTCAGACACGAACGAACACCTGGAATAAACGAATCAGGCAAGGAAGCTTGATAGAAGCTAAAACGTCAGACACGAACGAACACGAACTAAACGAATCAGGCAGGGAGTTTGATAGAAGCAAACATCAGACACGAACGAACACGAACTAAACGAATCAGGTAAGGAGTTTGATGGAATCTAAACATCAGATGAATGAACGAACACGAACTAAACGAATCAGGTATGAATTTGATAGAAGCAAATGTCAGACACGAACGAACACGAATCCAACGAATCAGGTAAGTGAGTTTGATAGAAGCTAAAACGTCAGACACGAAACGAATCACGAACTAAACGAATCAGGTAAGGAGTTTGATGGAAGCAAATGTCAGACACGAAACGAACACGAACCAAACGAATCAGGTAAGGAGTTTGATAGAAGCTAAAACACAGACGAACGAACACGAACCAAAACGAATCAGGTAAGGAGTTTGATAGAAGCTAAAATGTCAGACACGAACGAACACGAACCAAACGAATCAGGTAAGGAGTTTGATAGAAGGTAAAACATCGCACGAACGAACACGAACTAAACGAATCAAAACGTCAGACACGAACGAACACGAACTAAACGAATCAGGCAAGGAGTTTGATGGAAGCTAAACATCAGACACGAACGAACACGAACTAAACGAATCAGGTAAGGAGTTTGATAGAAGCTAAAATGTCAGACACGAACGAACACGAACTAAACGAATCAGGCAAGGAGTTTGATAGAAGCTAAACTTCAGACACGAACGAACACTAACTAAACGAATCAGGCAAGGAGTTTGATGGAAGCTAAACATCAAACACGAACGAACACGAACTAAACGAATCAGGTAAGGAGTTTGATAGAAGCTAAACATCAGACACGAACGAACACGAACTAAACGAATCAGGTAAGGAGTTTGATGGAAGTTAAACATCAGACACGAACGAACACGAACTAAACACTCCTTCAGACCTCGTTAACCGCACGGCTGGCTGTCAATATGACCGTGTTGGCCGATCAGGAGCTGCTCACTGCTGTCTACCAAGTGTTGAAAATGACTGTGGGAATAACTGTTGGTAATGATGATGGAATGACTGTGAAAGATTGTATTATTAATAAACTGGTGACCGTCTGACCAAGGTGGTATACAGGACACGGAGTTACCAGGTCGTAGACAGAGATAGATAGATAGATAGATAGATAGATAGATAGATAGCTAGATAGATAGATAGATAGATTTGTTGCAACATTCGCTCATGCAAAAATATCTCCATAAAACTGACGATCAAAATGCATAAAAACAAATGAATAAACAGATACACGAGACCAAGACCCAAGCACACGAGATCGAGACCCAAGCACACGAGATCGAGACCCAAGTACACGAGACCAAGACCCAAGCACACGAGACCAAGACCCAAGCACACGAGACCAAGACCCAAGCACACGAGATCGAGAACCAAGCACACGAGACCAAAACCCAAGCACACGAGACCAAGACCCAAGCACACGAGACCAAGACCCAAGCACACAGAGACCAAGACCAAGCACACAGATCGAGACCAAGCACACGAGATCAGACCCAAACTCTACGAGACCAAGACCCAAGCACACGAGATCGAGACCCAAGCACACGAGACCAAGACCCAAGCACACGAGATCGAGAACCAAGCACACGAGACCAAAACCCAAGCACACGAGACCAAGACCCAAGCACACGAGACCAAGACCCAAGCACACGAGACCAAGACCCAAGCACACGAGACCAAAACCCAAGCACACGAGACCAAGACCCAAGCACACGAGACCAAAACCCAAGCACACGAGACCAAGACCCAAGCACACGAGATAGAGACCTGAAAAAAAAGGTTTCGAGACCTACTGATACGAATTTACCAACGAACATATTTATATGAACGGATAAACAGACAGACAGATAATTGAGAAGCCAAATAAAAGACTGACAAACAGACAAGCTGGTAAATAGAGAGTTTAGTCAATAACCTCTTGTTAATCTTCAAAGAGGACCTTGCATAACGTAAACATTACCATATTAAGACAAGTCAAGGCTGGTCGCTTGCAGTGCTAATACCAAAATAAACATTAACGATGATGATCACTTTTGTACTGTGAATGACTCAGGAGGTGTTATACATGACTCACAGTTGTGTTATTTTAAAGTAGCTGGTACAAGATATCCTGATAGTTATGTTATCTTGGATTGTATGTTATGACAAATAAATGCTGTGTTATCTTAGAATACAATATATCCAGATATTTTTCTACCTTATAAAACATGGTATTCCCAATTATTCTTGTGTTATCTTAGAAATTACTTACACTAAGAGGAATATGTTCAAATTACCTTTATTTAGGATCAACGGATACTTAAAACACTCAGCTGGTCTCAAACACTCAGCTGGTCCCAAACACTCAGCTGGTCTCAAACACTCAGCTGGTCTCAAACACTCAGCTGGTCTCAAACACTCAGCTGGTCCCAAACACTCAGCTGGTCTCAAACACTCAGCTGGTCTCAAACACTCAGCTGGTCTCAAACACTCAGCTGGTCTCAAACACTCAGCTGGTCTCAAACACTCAGCTGGTCTCAAACACTCAGCTGGTCTCAAACACTCAGGCTGGTCCCAAACACTCAGCTGGTCTCAAACACTCAGCTGGTCTCTCCAAGCACTCCAGCTGGTCTCAAACACTCAGCTGGTCCCCAAACACTCAGCTGGTCTCAAACACTCAGCTGGTCTCAAACACTCAGCTGGTCTCAAACACTCAGCTGGCCTCAAACACTCAGCTGGTCTCAAACACTAAGCTGGTCTCAAACACTCAGCTGGTCTCAAACACTCAGCTGGTCTCAAACACTCAGCTGGTCTCAAACACTAAGCTGGTCTCAAACACTAAGCTGGTCTCAAACACTCAGCTGGTCTCAAACACTCAGCTGGTCTCAAACACTCAGCTGGTCTCAAACACTCAGCTGGTCTCAAACACTCAGCTGGTCTCAAACACTCAGCTGGTCTCAAAGATTACGCCATTATTTATTTGGTCCCCGACATATTCTTAAGACTGCCAGTTGATTGAGAATGTCCAAAATAAGACCATGTAACTGGTGTGTGCACTTAAGCACCATATGTACTAGGGAGGTTAGAGCGCCTTCAAATACCTAGATTATACTTTGGACGGTCAAGGGGTCATAAAAAAGAGGTGTGTGTAAGCACCTCGCCGGACAGCCCCCAATCAAGTGTACACACCTGGAGCTGTACAGAGGATGCCCGCCCCACAACCTCAGTCAAAGACATGTTCAGAATATTGTCGAAGCGAACTTCTTTGGAGTAAGGTGGCGTCGCATTAGCACTTTTCCCGTTGTTTTTTCCACAAGTTGTCGGTTTTTCTAGAACTAGAGCGTCTCGCTCAGACGAAACGTATCGTTTCCGCCTGACTGGCTTGAACCAATTTCCGCAGTCGTCAAGAAATTTATATCCTCGACAATGAGAATATTTATATAAAATAAATATCGAGCCCCATAAAATAACTAAACTTAATTTATAAGTATTCAGTCTCACATTTTTAATAAATTGCTTAAGTGTATTTTTTTATTTATGTTGATATTCGTAAATACGTCTGATATGTAAGTCGGAGCCATCTTCTATGTTTACAATAATTGACAAGCGCGGAAAGACTGGCGCGCTAGTTATCTATGCGTGTGTGACAAGGCGCGCTCAGAAAATGACAATCTTTAGAAAATTTATGCAAGAAAATGACGGAAGAAGCGTTAGTGTGACGCTGCCTTAGAGTTGTAAACTTTTGGAATAACCTGCCAGTGTGTTATGACAGCATCGAGTGTGTGCTCATTTATGACCAAACTTGACCAATACTGGTGCAGGTTCAGGTACATTCTAGACTAAGGTGTTGTGACAGCGCCAATAGTGAGCTCACCTATGGCCAGACTTCAACACTGGCGAAGGTTCAGGTGTACTTTCCATAGCCCGCGCATGCCCAGTATACTTGCCAACACCACGTAACGAAGAAATGACCGACCGCCCGACCTGCTAGATGCTAGAACCAGTGGTGAAGGGGATAACGTATCTATTTACGGTAAATTCTCAGTACAGTATAGTCTTGACGCCATGATGGACACCATCTTTGAATCACAGTTAAAGTGAATCAGAACGGA